GTAGTCCAGTGGTTGGGCACTCCTTAGCCCAGAGGCTGGGTCTGCCTTGAGTCTCACACCTTTATTGTCCCTGTTCTGAGCTGTATTCCCTTTACCTACAGAGCTGGTCCTGCAGATGTCACCTTCAGGTGCTTGCATTCTCTCTGACTTTTGCCTTTCTGTGCAGTCCAGGTTGGTGTCTGCTTGAGGTCCAGCTGGCTGCGCCATCTGGGGCAGTGGCAGTGGCAAGGACCCAAATGCTATTTCTGAGTAATTAGATCAGGTAAATACTCAAAGCCTCCAGAAACCCACCTCTGCCTGCAGACTGATTGGATTCAACCTCAAGTAGTCTCAGGTAATTGTCCACACTTGGGGTGAGTGGTTTTCCAACAGGGTGGGGAAATTTCTTTTGCCTGAAGGATAATTGTTATTATCAGTATCTTAATGAGCCTCAGAAACTCCACATGATGAGGCAAGGCCTTTTTCTTTTTTAAATTTTATTTTATTGTTTAAAGTATTACAGATAGTAGTACATATGTCTCCTTTTTTTTCTCCCATTGACCTTCCCCCAGCCTCCTTTACCTCCCGGCACATGCGCTCACCCGACCCCCCAGTGTCTTGTGTCCATTGGTTATGCTTATATGCATGCATATAAGTCCTTCTGTTGATCTCTTACCTCCCCCGCCCCCAACACTCCCCAGCCTTCCCACAGGCCTTTTTCAATAGGGTGGTTCAACTGTCTTCCTTCCAGGCAAAAACTGTCTGGATAGCAAAATTCTGCCTAAGAAAGATGATCTCTGGAGCATGAGGGAATGTCTCAGCACAGGAAGCCAGGGTGTCTGACTTCTGAGCTCTAACCTCTGAGCTCCCAACCCTGGATTATTCTTACACAGCTCCAGTCCACTCTGACCTTCCTCTGCTTGAGCCCAATGTGAGTGGCTGCACATGAAATTTTGTGTGTTGGCACTTTAAGAGGATGCCTGCATTTCCAGCCATCTTCCCCTGACAGCAACACTGATGATTTTTATAGTCATGTGTTTTGTGGGCACCTTTCTCTGTTCTGGGGGGCCCAGCTTTGTGTTTAGACCCCAGAGTTCTCAGTGATAACCCCCACAGCTGAGATATCTATCTAGAACTTCAGTGGCTGTGGGAGCTAATTTATAATGGGGACTTTTTCAAACCCATTTGGTTTAGAGAGAACCTTCAGCACAGACAAAAGTATAAATGTCCACATGTATCCCTTTGGATCATAACTTCTTGGCTCATTTCTGCGAGATTCACTCCTAGCCTTTCTTATTAAAGGAGATTTTACCTAAAATAGTAGGTAGAGAGATTTTTGTGGTAATATTGTTCTGAGAGTAGATACCTATAGTCACAACACAGCATTACTAGGTAGGTCTCTAAGTCTCTTATAAATGGAACTTCTGAGATGAGTAGAATCGTTTGGAATGGTATGAATATGGTTAACTGTTGTCAAATGTATAAATGTAGCACCTGAGGTAGGAGGGCTCAGGAAAATCACCAACTTATAATTCATTTACTCAATTTAATCACAAAATTTTATTATCTTGTTGTCAGAATCAAAAGACACAGTCTTAGACACCCCCTGAGCAGAGTGCATAGTACTATAATTTATTCAGAGTGCCATATCTAGGAAGACAAAGCCAGAGACTGTTTCTATGTAGTATCAAAGGAATGCCACTAGATAATTTTCATAGTTTTTTAAATCACATTCCAAGAAACTAATCCCAGCTTCTGATCTTTCGATTACCTTTTTCTTGATATCTCACTTTATCAGTGTAGAACCTAATTGGTTGTAAAAAGTTGATCTTGGTGAAATGATGAGTAAGCAATATGAGAAACTACAAGAGCACAGGCTTTGAGTAAGCAGAAAATTCTCAGGTTTTCTTCTGACTTTGTCATGTACTAACTGTGACAGTGTGGTGGTGGTGGTTGTGGTGTGTGTGTGTTGGAGGTGTGTGTGCATGTGTGTGTATGTACTAGTACATTCATACATGCATGCAATAATTGCTCAGCCTCTCCAAGACTTAGTTTCTTCATCTTTAAAATAGGAACATTAATACATTTTTAAGACAGGGATGCTGCTGAATGGAAAGTGTCTAACATCTAGAAAATACTCAGTAAATGCAGCTGCTATTTGCATAATCATTGAGGGTGGCAGCAGCTGATAGTATCAGTCAGGACATATTTGATTTTGGTGGCTTCTCTGATGCATAGGCTTAAAAAAATTTATCAGCTGTGTTTGGCAGCTCTGATGGTCACTGCTGGTTCTTCTGCCAGATTTATCATTTGGTAATGACAAATACACAGTCAGATATTCTTTTGAAAAAAATACACTTTCTTTATTCCTATAAATCTCTCCTCTTATTGGCTCAACTATAAGCCCTAATCACTATCACTGCTGCACTTTTTACAATAAGAAATTCATTATTATAGGTATACTTATAAATTATTAAAATTTTACTGAAAGATTGAAATAAATAAAGCTTATATTTTACCACAGCATATTTTGTGCTCACTGAGGGTAAATAATAAAGTAAAAACACTCTCTTCTACTCTAATTGTCAAAACTTATATTTACTTATGAATCTCTATCCTATCTAATAATAGACAAACATGGTAATTGACCGTACCTTCACTACGCCTACCATTGGCTAATCAGCGTGATATGCAAATTAACTGCCAACAAATATGGCGGCTAATTTGCATACTGCAAGAAGGGCAGGACAGCGCGAGCCGCCAGCATGCCGCCATCCAGGGCAGGCCTGCCCCAGAAGCCCCAACAGCCACCTGATATGGTAGTAACTCTATCAGTAAGCACTCTGAAAGTCAGTGGCATAAATGCACCAATTAAAAGACAGATTAAGAGGGTGAATCAAAAACAAAACCCACTTTAAATATAAAGACACATATAGATTTAAAGTAAATGAATTAAGCTCCAGCCTGTTTTTCTCAGTGGATAGAGCATTAGCCCGTGGACTGAAGGGTCCCAGGTTCGAGTCCAGTCAAGGGCATGTACCTCAGTTGCTGGCTTGATCCCCAGTCCCTATCAAAGCATGTGCAGGAGGCAACCAGTCAATGTGTCTCTCCCTTTCCCTTCACTCTCTCTAAAATTCAATAGAAAAATCTCCTTGGGTGAAGATTAACAAAAACAAAGTAAATGGATTAAGTAACATTAAAGAGATTATAAGAAAAATATATTCCAAATTTTGTTAGTTGCATAATGGTTATGTTTAAATTATTAACACCTAAGAAATTGGGTGTAGGGTACATATAATATGCTGTAGTATTTTATAGTTTTTTTACATGTATGAGATTATTTCAAATTAAAATATTAAAAAATTAAAAATTAATAAAATATTAATTGAAATGTGTATGCATAACATGAAAAATCTCCTAATTGCTTCTAGCATAATTTATTAAATTGTGCTAAAATTTACAAGGGTTCAATTAAAAAATATCTTAATTCTAAATGATATAATATAAAATATATAATAGTGCAGTTATAAGCACTTATCTGAAAATAAAAATTTAAAGAAGTGAATTTAAAGAAGGGGTTAGCCAATGAAAATATATGCACAACCCATGGACACAGACAACAGTATGGTGATGGCCAGAGAGAAGTGGGGGGCAAGAGCTGGGTAGAGGGGACAAAAGGGGGGAAATAGGGACATCTTATATAATAATAATAAAAGGCTAATATGCACATTGCCTGAACGGCAGAATGACCAGTTGCTATGATGCACACTGGCCACCAGGGGGCAGACGCTCAATGCAGGAGCTGCCCCCTGGTGGTCAGTGCACTTACATATGGGGAGTGCCACTCAGCCAGAAGCTGGCTCATGGCTGGCCAGCGCAGTGGTGGTAGCAGGAGCCTCTCCCACCTCCGTGGCAGCACTAAGAATGTCCAACTAATGGTTTAGACCAGATCCCTTGGGGGCCTAAGCCTTTAAGTCGGACATCCCCTGAGGGCTCCCTGGCTGCCAGAAGGATGTCTGACTGCAAGCTTAGGCCTGATCCCCTGGGGAGTGAGCCTAAGTCGACAGGTGGACATCCCCCAAGGGGTCCTGGACTGTGAATGGGCGCAGGCCAGGCTGAGGGACCCCCCGCAAGTGCACAAATTTTTGTGCACTGGGCCTCTAGTTTAATGTGAAAATCTGTGATCACCTTAAGGGCTGTAACTTTTTTTTATTAATCATTATTGAGTGGAATGGAATAACTTTTAACAAACATGAAATTGAGTCAAACTTATTTACAGAATGTCATTATTTTCATACCATATTTATTAAATGTGCACCATGAGTCAGTCATTAAATACAGAAAAAAAAACATAATTTCCAATCTTTTATTAAATATGTACTGAGGCATTATGAAGGTGCTAGAGGTATTATGGTAAATACATCATGAATTCTGTCCCAAGGTACTCACAGTTGAAAGAGGCACCCAGGCCTATATATGTGGAACAATTAGAAGGCCAGGCAAGGTATTGTGTAGTCAAGTGCTATATAGTTTGGCAAAGACTGTAAGTCACAAGGCCTATGACTGACAGGAAAGGTCTGGTGGGGGAGGCTGGACTTCATATGAGCCTTGAAGAATGGGGAAGATTTGTATGAATGGAGAGGGACAAATAGGGCATTTTCCATCAGGAGAACATGAGCAAAAGCCTTAGAGGTGGAAGCATGATCATGAGCATGGTGAGTTGACAAGATAGTAAGGAACCTAGACTGGCTGAAAGAATGCTGATGAGCAGTGGAAGATATAGTTGGAAGGGTAGGATGAAACTCAATGACAAAAACTCCAGAGTCAGATAAAGAGGGTTTAACCTAGTGATCCCCTAAAGGTCTTTGAGAAAGAAGGTGCCATGATAGTTGATGATATGGCTCTGGTGTATTTCATGTGGTACCTTATGTCATCATTATTCTTTTATAAGCTTTTCCCCGACTTTGTCTTTGGCTGCTACTCTGTTTCTATGTTAATTCAGAATGTTTGTTCTCATTTAGAAGAAACACTGGTTCATCAGATCTTAATGACAAGGAAGTTGGTCCTGGGACCCTGAAGAGCAGCCAGAGCAGTGGTATGACCCCAGTCACTCACAGGTCACCAGCCCCAAGCCCATGCAACATTACCCCAGTCATCAGTAGAGTAAGTACACAAATGTGAAGGGATATCAGTTTTCTGGGAGTTGACCTCACCACCATGACATTACTGGGTCTCAACTCTCTGTATCTCAGTGCATGTTGTTTACAATGATTAATGGTAGAAGCTTCTTTATCAGGACTGAACCTCTTGCATCCTTAGCTCCCAGCAGGAAGCCTGCAGTAGAAGGAAAGAGAAGGAACAGGTTTAGAGGTGGAATTTGTATGATGAGGGTTTAAATGGCTATATGGTTTAAACAACATATAAATAATTTTAGAAATCTTTGATTTTGATCCTCCATGCTACTTCTCAAGATGTTGAATGCACTAAAATTTTTCCAAACTGATTTAAATCAGGAAAAGTAGAATCTTGAAATTATTTTCTAGTTTTTACATCTGTTAAAATAAGGGGTCAATGCATAATGAAAGTTTAAATTGCATAATATATGTGTGTATAACATATGTGTGTATATGGAAGCTGCTCTTTTGAATGAATGAGCAACACTAGATTTTTTGGATTAAGCAGAAAACCATATATATACAAACTTTATATAAAAACTATAGTTTTTTTTAGACAGCCAATATTTAATGAGGGCCTGCTATATGCCAGTCCTGGTCACATAAATACTTGAAAGATCTGAACGAATTAGCCATGTAGGAGTCTGAGGTAAATAATTCCTCCAGGAAAGAACACCACTTATATTCAGCAGGTACATTACTGGATGGCTGTTCCAATTACTTATGGGCGACCTCCTTGAAAAATCAGTGGCTTTGCTCATCCAATATCTAAAATATGTTTAATGCCCCTGAAGGAACAACCAGTGCATAGATTCTGAGGTGTATGCATGAATGATATGTACAAGGAAGAGTAAGACAGCCTGTGTGGCTATTGCTGGTGAATGAAGGGAGGAGTATTAAGAAATGAGTTCAGAGAAGTAATAGGGACAGATGGAACCTTGCAGATCACAGTATGTACTTTGGCATTTACTCTGGATAATATAGGGATAATTAGATTGTTTGAGCAGAGGAGTGACATGATATGGCTTCTTTTATGCAGGATCTGGGAGCTGTGTTAAGAAGCAGCTGTAGGGGAATAAGAGTAGAAGCCAAAATGCCATGGCAGAGACTGGGCTTCAGGAAAGAAAGATAAAAGTGGAGGTTGTGAGTAATCAGATTCTACAGATTTTTTAGAAGGAATAGCCAAAAGGCATTCAGACAGATTTAATAATAATAGATATATTTAAACACTTGTAGTCTAAATTGTACTTGCTGATAATAGAGATGCCATATTTGAAATTTCTTAAATATTTATATTAAGATCAGCAAGCAGTACTATTCAATAGCCAGAAAAATTCATGGCTATTTGATAATTATATTCATTTCTTTGGTCACCTAACAAGGAATGATCCTCAAAGTATTTAGGAACTGGTATTGCAGGGAAACTGAACAGTCAGAGCAAATACTGGCACAAGTTTAGGGAAATATCTTGGGGGCTCTTATATGCCACACATTACCTGCATTATGGGAAAAACTAGGGTTATGGAGGAGGGAAAGCACAGGGAAGGGAATAGACTGGGAGGGGTGCTACTTATAACTGATACAGAAGTCTTAAAAAAATTTAATAGCTGGGTAGCAGAAGACTATCAGTTTAATGATCAGTAAGCTAGTCAAGTTTGTTCTCAAAACAAGGATTATCTTCCTAAGTACCATTTTTGAGGGGAAAATGTCACCCTTGTCATGTGCTAATACCCTAAAAATTGACAGCCTCTATATGAATTTTTTTTATTAAACAACATTTAGATTTCCCCAACATAAATTCCCTAGAACTGAGTTGAGTATATGTACATATATTTAGGCAATAGCCTGTGTTGATCTAACTTTTGCATTCTAGCTGATCTAGCTAGTCTTTTATATGAGACACAAAAAGAAATATTTTCTGTTGAATAAACGTAAGACAGAACAGTACTTTAAGAAGCACACTTCTCTTTCATGATGAACGGAAGAAGTATACAGAATGAGATGATAATCAATATAACTTCTCCCAAATTAGTCCCATTTCTCCGCATCTCTTTGTTTTAATATTCTTTTCTTCTTTAGCATGTGAGAAGTAAGTTTTTAAAATGAAAAACTCTTAGAACATCAAAGTCTCTAACCTGACCTCTGCTATAATGTAACTTGTCAACTTTAGGTTTCACAGTCTGAATCTCCAGGGTATGTATTGCATGTTAATGACTGTACAATGTTAATTGGAAAATTAGTGTTCAATAGTAATTATCCTCCCAGAGTGCCAATTGGAAAATTTCCTGTCAACATAGTTGCCTCTAAGGAAGTTGGTCTTACTTTGTTGGGGGACTCAATGTATGAACAATATTTTGAGGAGTTGGTGAAAACTGACCTAAACAAATTTATCTGTTTGACCGCTGTGACAGTCTTATGATAAATCTAGGTGGTATACAGCAAGTAATTAGGAGCTATATCCTTCCTACTATAGGGACTATGTATTAGAAAATAATCAAAGACCAAAAACAGTCTATATTGAAGCTGCAGTGATTAGCATGCTAAGCAAATGAGAGCCACATCTCTCTGGAGTGAGTTCATCAAAATGTCCCTCAGTGTCTAAGCTATGGGCAACAAGGAGGAAATTCCTTCCTGTAGAATTTTTAAAAGCATTTTTATTGTTATGGAAAAATGAATTTAAAAGTTTCTTTTATATTTGATCATTATCACATTGGGGTATCATTTCCATGGACATTTAAACTCTACTCAGTTACTAAAAAGTTCAAAATTAGTTTTTTAATGCTCAAGCAATGTTGGATTGATGTAACAGCCAAGCCCCTATGGGCCCAGGGAAATTTGGGACAGAGTTTTCTTTTATTATATGTTACAATGAAAGCAAGTCTCAGACTGAATTCTGCAATTTACACAAGCATTTATTAGCAAGACAGTACCCAAAAATCACCGATTCCTCTAAATTAGGGAAGTACCCATTCTTTATCCTTTTATGAACTTTGATAAGCCCCTTGCATGAAAGTTCCATTTCAATAACAATGTAACCAACCAGGTTCTGATCATCTAGCCTGCTAAATGGAAAAGGTGGCATGGTCTTCTGTTAATTGGATGTGGAGTAGGTAAGGGGTGGTTGAGGAGAAAGGATGTTGAAAGGGGGACAAGCTTAGGGCCATAGTTTTAAGCCTACTCTGAGGGTATGAAGATTGCCAGATTCTTATACATAATTTATGTAAGTTGGAAGTACCTGTATCATTTACTAACCATATAGTAGAATGCTCCCAGATCTTGTAAATGAAAAATTATTTCCAAAGCCTTCATTAGCATTAATTAGAGAGCAATTATTAATAAGTTTTAGAGTTATATGGACTCCTGATGAGGGTTCTCCAAATATCAACTATCTCCTAAAGAATACATACTTAAATGTGGCTTTACTGAAGTGTATTTCTGTGGAAGGATTTTAAAGTAAATTATTGTCAGTATAATGTTTTTTCTGTTAATGTTTACTTTGTGAGAAGGAACATGGTTTTGAAAATTCTTTGGATTTGGCTGCCATTGAAGGCACCTCAGAGGACTTCACAAAGAATCATTGCACAAACACTTCTGGCACACCTTCCATAGCAGTGTCCAGGGCCTCCCTCTCCTCAGGTGGGTATTTACAATATGACTGCTCTGTTGTACAAAATGACTAAATCAGGTGTAGCTTACTCTCTTGTGGGCATTAAATGGATGTTTCATGCCTTAGAAAAAAATTGTCTATTCTTTTGGACCCATGGTGGTAGGGCCACTCCATAAGAACTACTTATAGGTGGTCCCAGGTGATGTTTTGAGCCTCTTACATTTATGCAAAATCTATTTCCTAAGTATACACTTGCCAGGCATCACTGCCAAGTTTCAGAGCTATCCTATATAATAAAAGGCTACTAGAAATATGCAAATCGGCCGAACGACAGAGAACTGGTTGCTATGACGCGCACTGACCACCTGGGGACAGACACTCAACACAGGAGTTGCCCCCAGGTGGTCAGTGTGTTCCCTCAGGGGAGTGCCACTCAGCGAGAAGTTGAGCTCATGGCTGATGAGCACAGTAGTGGTGGCAGAAGCCTCTCCTGCCTCCATGGCAGCACTAAGGATGTCCAACTGCCGGCTTAGGCCCTGCGGGGAGTGGGCCTAAGCCATCAATCAGACATACTCCAAGGCAGCGGTTCTCAACCTGTGGGTCACGACCCCTTTGGGGGTCGAATGACCCTTTCACAGGGGTCACCTAAGACCATCGGAAAACACATATATAATTACATATTGTTTTTGTGATTAATCACTATGCTTTAATTATGTTCAATTTGTAACAATGAAATTGGGGGTCACCACAACATGAGGAACTGTATTAAAGGGTCGCAGCATTAGGAAGGTTGAGAACCACTGCTCCAAGGGCTCCTGGACTGCGAGAAGGCACAGGCTGGGCTGAGGGAGCCCCCCTCCCCCCCCTCCATGAGTGCACAAATTTCATGTACCGGGCCTCTAGTACCAAATATAATTGGCTGATTTGATATGAAAGGCAGGGACACTTGCCCAGAGTTCAAGGATATTAACTTTAAAAAAAATCTTTATTGTTGAAATTACTACATATGTCCCCCTTTTCCCCTATTGACCCTTTCTAGCTTGTACCCACCTTCTGTCCCCATGGAACAGACTATCCAATCTCAGAGGGAAGGCAGGGGTGCATGGGTGGGAAGAGTTTAACCCATGGGCATAGACAATAGTGTGATTAAATCAACTTTTTAAAAATTAACAGATTTATTAAAATATAATTTACATACCATAAAATTTATCTGAGTTTTGTCAATTTGCATTAATTTTGATTGCCAGTAGGTATGGATTAATTCTACTATCTTACTTTATATATTCCATTCACCTCGCTTTTGTTCTAGGTTTTATTCTTTCTCTACTGCCTTCTTCTAGATCAGTGGTTCTCAACCTTCCTAATGCCGCAACACTTTAATACAGTTCCTCATGTTGTGGTGACCCGCAATTTCATTGTTACAAATTGAACATAATTAAAGCATAGTGATTAATCACAAAGACAATATGTAATTATATATGTGTTTTCCAATGGTCTTAGGTGACCCCTGTGAAAGGGTCGTTCCACCCCCAAAGGGGTCGCGACCCACAGGTTGAGTATTTACAATATGACTGCTCTGTTGTACAAAATGACTAAATCAGGTGTAGCTTACTCTCTTGTGGGCATTAAATGCTGTTCTATATTGATGTCTCCCCACCCCTTCCATTTTTTCCCTTCCTTCTAGTTTAGTATATACACCATTTCTCTTTTAATGATTATCTTAGAGTTTTTAATATGCATGTTTAACTTAAATTCTAATTTCTAACATAAATGTTAATTCTTCTTGATTTGGTGGTCAGCAATGCCCTATATCTAGAAAAAATTAACCATTTTGTGGTTTAAATAAAGAATTATTTGCAAGCAGTATTAAGGTATTAATAACCCCTTTCATTTATATGGTACATTCAAATATATAATTTCACTTCATTATCACAATAACCCAGTGTAGCAGATATTATGTTGTAATTTTATTACCTATGAATAAAGAAACTCTTCAGAGAAATTGGTCATAATTATGAAGTTTATGTCCCATATATAGAATTAAAATCATGACAAAATTCTCAACATGAAAATGTTACTTGTTACTTAATGATGATATTTGCATAAAGCCTAAATCTGGATTCTGTATGCTGAATCAGAGTCTCTCCTAGACAGGTAGCTCCCAAAAGGTTTTCTAAATGAGTGTGGTTATTGTTGCATTTTGCTTAGGATTAGAAAATCAGTTCACCTATTAAATGAAAACTTTTAAACTAGGCTAGAAGTGAACTTCCTAGACCAGTGGTTGGCAAACTCATTAGTCAACAGAGCCAAATATCAACAGTACAAGGATTGAAATTTCTTTTGAGAGCCAAATTTTTTAAACTTAAACTATATAGGTAGGTACATTCAACTTTAAATTCACGGTTTTCGTCTTCCGTTTTTCTTTGCTTCTTCTTTGTAGCCATCTCAAACAGGGCACCTAAAAAAATGTTTCATTTTATAATAATAAAGCCACCAACACAAAAGAATTACAATTCTTAAATTGATGACAAAAATACCTGTAGGATTTGCAGCTGGTTGGAAAAATACAGGTAACTTTATGCTTCGAGTAGGTACTTTTGTCACCCACGCACGATTTGCAGACACGACTAGCACTAACCACTGCACAATGAGACTGCTGACTGACTGGCTCACTCAGCTCGTGCATGAATCGCGCTGCATATCCCTTGGCCCGCTTGCACCGCATCTCCTGTCGCCCGACCAACCGACACCCCCCACTTCTTCTAACGCCACTTCTTCAAAATAGACTCGCCCAGGCCGAAAAACGACTTCTGCGCATGGGCCACGAAGTTTCAATAGCACTGTATGTGCACGCCCGCATATGGTATTTTGTGGAAGAGCCACACTCAAGGGGCCAAAGAGCCACATGTGGCTCACAAGCCGCAGTTTGCCAACCACTGTCCTAGACTGTATTTCCACTACTGAACACTTCCTGTTTATTGAATATATACTCTGTGTCAGGTGCTATGCTAAATACTTCTACTTTATATCACTTACCATTTCAAACTTATTTATTTGATTGCTCTCTTAAATCTTTCTTATTTATAAGCAATGATATCTACATCAGCAGGGCTTTGACATAGAACTATTCTGTGGAAATAAACTGTGTCTTGATAATTTTTCCACAGCATTACTGACTACTGTATAGTTCTTTAACTTATATTTTCAAAAGAAAGATATTCTTCTGATTATAAAATGTTCTGGTACCTAAAGAAAATAGAATTTTCTCCCATTTACCTGTAGCCACTCCCTTTTATTTGATTTATAAATTTTAAAATCAAGAAAGGTTAATGTTTTATTTTTTCTTAGCTTAAGGGTCCATTCTGAGAGAGTTTTTCAAAATCTATGAGCAAAACAGAAGACTTAAACACCTTAAAATTAGCATTTTGTAATAGAGCATTTAGTTTCCTATGATCAAAGGAGAAATGAATACATCAGTGTTGGTAATTCAGTTCAAGGGAATTTCAAAATGTTATTAAAATGAAAGTATGTTAGCATAAACAGCAGAAAGTTACTAAGTCTGACACTTGCTTTCATAATACTATGTCCCATGCCTACAAAGAATTGGAATAAAGATGAAAGATTTACAATGAAAAGTGAAAACTTCTAGAAAATAAGGTGATTCATATTTTTCCTTTTCTCTTCCTTCCCCCAGACCAGAGTCAATCTGAGTTAGACTTGAGTGGGTCATTTAAAGAAGACTTAAAGGATACTGTAAATTTAAGAAGCAAGTATGTCCCTGGGGCTTTAGACAAAGATTTGGTAAGTTGGATACAGAAAAGAGTCCAATGATCATGGGGAAAAAGCATGATATTGTTCAAAACTTGTCCACTTTTACATGAGGATGAGTTGAGGGTAAAGTGAGGATATACAATAATCTCTTTCTATTAGTCTTCACAACCAGCATACAAAAATAAATAAGGAATGATTTAGTAAAGGTAAGAGGTAATCAGAGGTAATCAAATTAATCTGGAAAGATTATCCTTAAGAAACACCTGTTGGGAATTTCAATTCCTACCTAAAAGCACATTACTTAATCTAAACCTGGGAAATGGGAAATATCAACATTTTCTAAATGAAATATTACTGGATTTAATCTGACTATGTATTTTATATGAACATTTCTACATCTCAAGTTACTCTCAATAAACTATTTTCTTGATTAAGACTAAATTATTGGAAAATTAATTTATAAAATGAGAAAGTTGAATTAGATTATTGGTAAGGTTACTTCCATTTCTAATGTTGTGATATTCTGAGTTCTATAATTGCTATAATGCAATTTGAACTCCATGGAAGAAAGATATAACACAAGTATTAAATGACAATAATATAATTTTTCCAAAGCAAGGCAGGAAAGTTACAGTTCTAAAACTCAATGTTATTTACTATCTATACTAATTAAAGGGTAATATGCTAATTAGACCGGGAGACCTTCCTGGAGACTGGCCAGGGAGGGCAGTTGGGGGCCATTAGGCTGGCCAGATAGGGAAGTTTGGGGCCATGAGGCCAGCCAGGGAGGGCTGTTGCGGGCCATGAAGCCGGCCAGGGAGGGCTGTTGAGGGCCATGAGGCCAACAGGGGAGGGCAGTTGGGGGCAAGAAAGCCAGCAGGGGGGGAAGTTGGGGGGTGAGCAGGCCAGCAGGCAGAGTCATTAGGGGGGATCAGGCAGGTAGGCAGGCGAGTGATTGGGACCCAGTGGTCCCGGATTGTGAGAGGGATTGGGCATAAACTGGCAGTCAGACATCCCTCGAGGGGTTCCAGATTGGAGAGGGTGCTGGCCTGGCTGAGGGACACACCCCCTCGTGCACGAATATTGTGCACTGGGCCACTAGTTGTATAAATAATAGGTATCTTAAAATCCACCACCAAAAAAAAGGAAGCAAATAATGAGATCAAATGGTTTCAAAGTTTACTTGTACTCAACCTTTACAGAACAGTTAATTCCAATATTATAAAAATGTTTTTGATCTTAAAAACTCTAAAAAATCTTCAAATTCACAGTTTTAAACTATTATAAACTTCACTCTCAAATTTGATTTAAAAACAATTTAAAAACTACAAGTAAAAGCTAGCAGTGAATGAAAAATATAGCAATAAGGATAACTAAGTTTTATTCTAAGAATGAATGGAAGAATTAATCTATGTAAAAATATGTATTACATAGCTAATATTTCAATATATTAAAGGAGAAAATACAAAACTATTTTTGCTAGATGCTGAAAACTATTGACAAAATTTAACAGTCATACCTAATAAAAATACAAATTTAAAACTAATATAAACCATTGAAATATGATTTTAGCCCTGGCTGGTGGCTCAGTTGGATGGAGTGTCACCTGGAGCACCCATCTTGACAGTACACACACACACACACACACACACACACACACACAAATGCATACATGCACAGATCAAACACTTTTTAATTAAAAAATAATTTAATTGCCCAAAGTAAATCACCTTAGATATCACCCAGGTCTGTGTGATTCTAAATTCCATTCTCTTTCCATAAAGCTTCCACTAGGAAGGAGGCCCCACTCCTCTGATGATATAATTCAGGTTGAATGGATAGCAAAAGAGGAAAACCTAGAATAGGGCGATTTCTAGATATTTGTATATGATTTTTCAGGTATTTTAAAAAGAAAGTGATTTGGGGAGTGAAATGACTTTCTAGGAAAACAGTAAACCAAACCACTGATATTTGCCCCCTTCCTTAGGACTCCTCGGAAGAAACTGAAGAAAGTATTGATGATGTAGTGTCCTCCAGGTTTTCTGCAAACACCCACAGCCTAGCAAGTGGCCTGTCAAGAGTAAGCAGTTCTCTAATGCACTGGAAGTTTATTCTTTCTCTTATTGATTTTCTGTTCACTTCCAAAGGGCATATGGATGTTCTTGGGACAATGTCTGTTAGTGAGTTAAGTCATTATAGTCTTCCACTTGTCCTTAGCCCACAGAGTACTTTTTGGTCTAATTTTGTGTAGACTTTTCCTAAGGCTTCTCATTGCTTCCCTCTTCTTCCTTGGTCCTCACATAGGCTTTAAGACCTCTTCAGTCCTTAGTTCAGCTCAAGCCTATAAATTATCTCAATTCTCTGCTGATACATTTCCCTGCCACCATTCTCTCAACTCCCTAATTGTTCTCCACACTGCTGGCAGACACTCTCCTAAAACACATACCAAGCCAGGTTTCTCTCCTATTCAAACAGTGTCCATAGTTTCCCACTGCCAACAGAATAAAGACCCTTCTTACTTTAGTGTTCAGGCTTTCTTTAAGAGGTAGCCTTTAGGAACACCTGCTACCTTTTACCCATCTATATGTCTGTAACTTTTTTCTTTGCTTCTCTAATTTCTATCTGTTATTTTAATACCTTTTTTTCCTTTTGACCTTTGTGTGACATCCTTAAAGAATTCTCAAGCTGGCTCTGACAAGAAATGGACCTACCTAAATGTGCCTGATATTGACTCAGACACTGTGAGTTTTCAATCTTTCCTTTTCCTTCTTTCCAACCATACTTCACAAATTTTATGGTACAGGTAATCTGGTTAGGTGGGCAATTTTCCAGCATATAGCTTTTTCTGATTTGTATTCAATTAACCAGAGGTTCTCTTTTAAAAGGTAAATAAAATGATCAAAATCCAAGTATTCCCTCCCAAAAAACACTCATTAAACATTAGAATATGAGGACTAGTCAAAAGATATATGGTCCAAAATTATTTACCATTGACGAGATACCTTTAGAATAAATACCTCTATTTTATTTTTTTAAATTCTTACCCAATGATATTTTTTCATTGCTTTTAGATAGAGTAGAAGGGAGGGAGGGACGGACGGAGGGAGCAAGAGCGAGAGTGAGAGCAAGAGAAAGCTCTATTTTAAATCACAGCATTGGCTTGGTTAAGAGCATAAAGTTTGGTTAGTAGTAAAATTTCCTTAACTGCCTAAATTTCTCCCAAGCTTAAGCATTTGTGAGTTCTTAAATTTTCTTCCATCTATAGGGCCCCTTGCTTACAGAGGAACTTCTTTGAATAGTGGCTACAGAACGATGTGGTGAGCCACGAATTAGTGATACAAGGAAATAGTGTGAGGTATGTTAGGGAAGTCCTCAGACTAAAAATCTGCAGAGCTTGTTGTATGTCTTGGCGCTGCCAACAATTTCTGTGAGCCAGAATTTTCTCATATATAACATGAGGAGGTTGGGGTTTATTCTTGAAGGCCTTGAAACTCAAATGATAGTTCATGGACCAGCAACATTGCATTACCTAAAACAGATATTCTAAAACTTTGTCAGTTCAGGGAGCCTGCAGTATCTCAGTGATACTTTCATGGTGCTCCTGGACCAAAAGTAATACCTGAATAGCCAATTTATTAATTATTTAGGTAAAAAATAAATAAAACAATAAGCACTGGTATCCTAACAATTTAGCCAATTGAAAAAATAATATACATAAACTGAGAGAAAAATAATATTTTATTCCATTATTAAATAGCCCTTAATATTTACTAATAGGATATGTGTGTCTGTTGGCACTACATGAATTGTTAAATCTTGGAATCTGATTGGACGGCACCACTTTAATTTCATTTTTGTTTTTTTCAATTCTCACCAGAGGATATTTTTCCATTGGTTTTTAAAGAGAGTGGAAGAGAGAGGGAAAGACAGAGAGAAATATTGATGTGAGAGAAACACATTGATTGGTTGCTTCCTGCATGACCCCTGACAATGGCCCCGGCCAGGGAGAAGCCTGCAACCGAGGTATGTGCCCTTGATTGGAATTGAACCCTGGACCCTTTGGTCCGCAGGCCAATGCTCTATCCACTGAGCCAAACCGGCTAGGGCTAATTTCTTGTTCTACATTGATTTTTATGCAATACTTGTGTTTTGTGACAGCAACTGCCAAAAACTCAATTTCTCACAGATAGGACTTTATAAAGAATAAAATGTAATTTAATGTTGATACTGCAAACTACTGTTATGGTGTCTGATAGATGACACTATGTTTCCCTTGTAAATTTAAAATACTTGTGTGCCCCTGTGAGTTTGCTGAGGTGCTGTGGAATTCCTCGACAAACAGTTTGGAAATTGTGGACCTAGTAGAAAAGCAAAATCTCAGACCCAACCTAAGATAGAATAGATCTGAATACTTGTTTTAATAGATCCTCAGGTGATTTATATGCAATTATAGTTTGAAAAGCACTGATAAAAGCCACCTACTACCATGACAATTCTATTTCTTTATTTTATGAATAGGAAAGACAAATTAGGTCACTCACTGGCTCTCTTTAAGTTATAATTTCCAAGTATAGTCCTCCCTCGGTATCCACCTGATGTGTAACCTGTGGATATGGCAGGCTGCCTCTAATTATGGCATCCTTGGTTTGCTCTTGCCCTTGAATTAAGCCTAGAAGAGATACTAGCCATATGACCCACATCCTGTTCTTTGAATCGTCTTTACTCTTCGTGATTGGAGGAATGTAATGACTTTATATATGTACAGGGTGTAGCTAAAGAAAGTTTACAGTTGTTGTATGGATATTAATACAATAATGAATAAATAATAATACAGGAATAAACTGTTTCCCATACTCATGACTGTAAACCCACTTTTCCCTCACCCTGTGTGTGTGTATATATATATATATATATTAGTAAATATTAAGGGATATATATATGAAAAAGTCAAAAGTGGAACCTCTCTGCATTTACCATAGTCCTTACTTCCCAGTGGTTCACAAACAAGACTTTTGAGACTGTTAAGTCACTCATGAAAGCCTTTCAGGTGGTCTTTTGTGCTAGTCATGCTGCTAAGATAGAGTTTTTGCTTATGGCACTAAAGGATAATTTTGTTACATTTGATTGAAAATATGTCTCTCGTAATTAGTGACTCATCAGGAACTTAATTCATTCTGGGAGATTTGGACTTTTTAAAACAATTTATGTATTGGTTGGTGTGTTACCGTAGTGTTCTATTTTGTGGGTTGATATTTTACAGAGGTTTAGGAAGCCAGGGTCCTACATTACTTAGGTGGCCACACAGCTGCTGAGGGGTGCCTTGTTAATACTGCAGTTATGACTTTCCAGAGGCTAATGAGATGCTCTCTGGAGGTATACCAGGGAGAATTTTGTAGCTCTTACTAACAAATAGATGAGCTTTTGTTTGTCCTGGTGAATGCATTCTAGATCTTGAAGTATATTGACCTTGAGCCTCCCAATGAGAAATGAGAAAGCTACAGGGATTTGGAGAGGAGATGGGATTGGAAATGCCTCAATGACTCCATATTCATTAGAAAAGTGAATAAACAAAGGCTATTCACTAATGCAAAAGAGCAATGCTTCTCCTCTCAGCAAGTTTCCTGCCTTCATTACTAATGGTCCTAGATCTTATTGTCCTTTCTCAGGTTTGGATTTTATGCAATGAGAAAATTAAGCGAATAAGTGATTTTTGCTTTCTTCCATCTCCATAGATTTCCCTACTGATTATAAAGAACAGGAATTATAATTGAATGAAAGGGGTGGTTTTTGTGAAGAGATCATTAGTATAACACTAGAGGCCCAGTGCATGAATTCATGCATGGATGGGGTCCGGCCAGCTGGCCTGGCCCCAATAGGGGCGGATCGGGACTGTGTCTGCCGGGACGAAGAGGCAGCGGAGGTTAACCAGCCAGCCCGCCCCGATTGGGGCACGATTAGGGCTGGGCCGGCTGGGGGGAGGGGCGGTGAGTGATTGGCCAGTAGGACCTGCCCCCGATTGGGGTGGGGGGCCTGATTGGGGGCAGGGTCAGCCATGGGGAGGGTCTGTGGACTGTGAGCTAGCTGCCCCCCTTGAATAGGGTGGGGGGGTTGATCGAGGGTCAACAGCCAGAGGAGGGATCATGGGAGGTTGGCCAGCCAGCCCCACCCCTGTTTGGTGTGGTGAGGGCCGATCAGGAATGGAGCTGGCTGGGGAGAGGGGCCGCAGGACCATTGGGGTGGTGGGGGCTGATCAGGGGTGGGGCCAGCTGTGGGAGGGGCTGTGGGTGGTTGGATGGCTGGCCCTGCCCCAGAATGGGTTGGGGGGCTGATTGAGGGTGGAACTGGCTGGGGGGAGGAGCTGTGGGCCAATCGGGGTGGTGGGACCCATCAGGGGTGGGGCCAGCCAGGGGGAAGGGCCACGAGGGGGGGTGTTGACCGGTCACCCTGCCCTCGATCTGGGTGGGAGTGGCCAATCATGGGTGGGGCCGGCTTGGGGGAGGGGCCTCAGAAGGTTGGTTGGCCAGCCCCACCCCCTGATTGAGCCAGTTCGCTGGCCGCAGTAGGCATCATTGCGACTGGTTGTTCCAGTCATTACGGCATTCCGGTTGCTGGCTTTTTATATATATAGATAGGACTCCTCTTTCTATCTTGTTTATTCTAGGCCAGCCTTAATAGCATGCTGAGTGTTTACAGTGAAACAGGAGACTATGGCAATGTGAAGGTCAGTGGTGAAATCCTTCTCCACATCAGCTACTGCTACAAAACTGGCGGGCTCCATATTTTTGTCAAGAATTGCAAAAATCTGGCCATAGGAGATGAAAAGAAACAGAGGACAGATGCGTAAGCACATAACATATTCTGCTGTTTATTTCAATTGCTGCATTTTTTTGTCAGTATATGTGTTTCTTTTATAGAAGACTAGAGGCCTGGTGCACGAAATGCATGCATGGGAGAGGGTCCCTCAGCCCAGCATGCACCCTCTAGCAATCCGGGACACCTCAGGCGATGTCCGACTGTGGGTTTAGGTCCAATTCCACAGGGATCCCTGTGGGATCAGGCCTAAACTGGCAGTCAGACCTCCCACTGGCTCTTAAAGTCTTGCCTGCCTGCCTGATCACCCCTAACCACCTCTGCCTTGGCCCCTGCCATGGCGGCTTCATCCAGAAGGACATCGGAATGACATCAGAAGGTTGTTCAGCTGTCGGGTCTAATTAGCATATTACGCTTTTATTATTATGGATTCTTTTTTAAGCTTATTTATCTTTTTTAAATTAAATTTTTTGGGTGACATTGGTCAACATGAATATATAGGTTTAAGATGTGATTTTCTATGTTATAAGATATGTATATTGCACCATGTGCCCATCACCCAAAGTCAAATCTTCTCCTGTCACCTTATATTAGGATCCTCTTCTCCCCCATACCATTCCCCCTGGCAACCACCACACTGCTGTTTGTGTTCACGACTTTCAGTTTTATATCCCATATATGAGTGAAATCATGTAGTTCTTAGCTTTTTCTGACTGACTTATTTTACTTAGCATAATGTTCTTAAGGTCCATCCATGTTGTTGCAAATTTACAAATGGCACTATTTCATCCTTTCTTATGGCTGAGTAGTATTCCATTGTGCATATGCACCACATATTCTTTATCCAGTCCTCTATTGCAAAACACTTTGGTTGTTTCCATCTCTTGGCCACTGTAAATAAAGCCGCAATGAACATAGGGGTACATATATCTTTTTGAATACATGATTTCCAGGTTGTAGGGAATGTAACCAGAAGAGGGATTGCTGGCATGTATAGTAACTATATTCTTAATTTTTTGAGGAATTGCCAGACTGCTTTCCATAGTGGTTGTCTGCATTCCCAACAGCAGTGAATGAGGATTTTCTTTTTTCCACAACTTCTCCAATACTTGTTATTGCTTGTCTTGTTGATAAAGGCTACTCTAAAAGGTGTAAGGTGGTGTCTTATTGTAGTTATTATTTGCATTTCCCTAATTGCCAGTGAGGTTGAACATCTTTTCATATAACTATTGGCTGTTCATATGTCTTCTTGGGATAGCTTATATTTTTAGGGTGGTCTGCCCACTTTTTTTTTTATTGGCGTATTTGGTTGGTGTTGAGTTTATGAGTTCGTTAAAGATTTTGGAAAATTAAA